AAGGATCTTCAGTTGGAGCCACTCTTCCAGATTTTTGTAAGATTCTCACCGCTGGGTAATCTATTGCTGTATTTTTAAAATATATACATGTTATTTTTAGGCATTTAGGGATTTCAATGAAACAACTTTTCCCCTTTAAAGCCTATGGGCCCAATTTATGAACTAAGAAAAAATGAACCAGATTCTAAAGTTTAAAATGAAAGCAGAATTCTTTTGGGATTGTCTATATGTCTGTGGATGAAGGGAGATTAGTGAGACTGGGAGCAAGTGAAGGGTTAGAAGGGATTCCTGAATTGTGATAAAATCCCCAAAGTCCTGGGGAAGCCATTTGCTGGAGGGCATCAGAATGCCCCCAAGGAACAGGCATTAAATGTGGGAGAGCAAGAAAAGAAACAAAAAGAAAGCTTTTAGTCTTTTTCTTCTAATCTTCTCTACTAATTTTTTTTTTTTTTTACTTAAAAAGTTTTTATTGCTCTTTATGAGCCAATTGGAACACATCCAAGATCAAAAGAAGGTACATTGGCAGGTTGAAGGGAAGAAGAAGGAAACGAGATACAAGGAGAGTATGCATTGGGTATTATGCTTTCTGATATGAGGGATATTATCTTAGAATACATAAAAGTGTGAAGCTCCATGTATGGAAATTAAAACCATAGTTACTCATCATAGACTGTAAGTTAAGTCCCTGGTATGTAAAGTTGGACAAATCTCTTGAATACCAAACATTGCCTGTATAGAGAAGAAGAGAATATTCATTCTTATAAAGATTAAAGGATGGGTTTGAGATATGATCAAGTTAGTCTGAAGAACAGTGAGGACATATTTCACTGACAAAAAGCTGACTGACAGTTATGTGCTTGAATATGGAAGGTTTTGTGTGAGTGAGTTTGACCCCAGATATGAAGCTCTAAACCCTTGACCTAGGCAGATTCACTTCAGTAGCACAAATAATCTGTCTTATACTTGTTTTCTGTCAAAATCATTTCACCTCTTTGGGGGAAATTTAGGATTGAATATATGAATGAGCCAGTTGTGAGGGTGGAGGGGGAGAGGGGAGCAGATATTAGAAACTGGTGGCCATGGTGTGTACCTACTGGGCTTTGGTTTCTGGATGTCTTAGGGATTCAAGATTACAATACGCCTGAGCAAATTTAGCTAAGTTCTTACAGAATTAATGAGCAAATTCTGCAAGCTAGAAACAAAGATTTTCCTTTACCTCTCCAGACTGGGATGGGAGGCTTCAACCTCCACCAGCAAGTGGCTTTGAAAGATGTGAAGCCTCAGTGTGGTATCAGTTCAGGGCCTTAATTAGAGGTGGTCTGTGGGCTTTCCTTATCCGCTGAACCTTAAGAAATGATACATCTCAGTGAGATTGAGTCTCAGGTCTCCTTGTTATCTATTTATTTCACAAGGTGCCTTCTACTATCAACTAAACTTATACAAACTTGTCTCTGTAATTCCACTAGACTTTTTCATAATTTAGAGTTGGGAACTCTCTCATTCCATATATGAACAAACTTACGCCTGGAGAGGAAAATGAAGTCAATCATTAAATTTTTTTTTTAAAAATTGAGGGTCTACTGTGATTCAAGGTGAATAACATGGGCTCTAACCTCCTGTACAGTGTGCACTAGGAAACACTGACAAGGAGACAGGTGATTGGATAACTTCTTAAAAATGGCACCCGTGGAAATTTGCAATAGATATATCTACTTGATCTTTGTGACTTTTGCTTTGACACTTGTATTTACTGGGGTGTCCTTGGTCTCAATAACTGAGCACAGAGTATTGCACAGACTCTAGACAGGCCCAGCAGCTCACACTATCTTCTTTGAACAAAGATGTCCCCACAATCTGTAGAGCACTGGCACATCTTACAAGGACCCATGGTCTTCACTACCTCATGGAAGATGTTGGCAACATGTGTGTCCACCACTGCCACCTAATGACTCTTTTGGCTACTACAGCTCTGGCTCTACTTCTGATGTTGAACTCTGGGTTTCTGGCCCCAGGCAGAGAGGTGTTGACTTGGTCACCCTAAGGTCCTGTTCCATCTTGAGAACCTTAGAAGACAATATTTATCTATTGAAGAATAAGAGACCTAAATGAATCCAAATCAATAAAGCTTTGATGAGGTCTTCCACAAAGCTAGAAAAAGAAAGCACACCCAGAAGACTAAAAAACAGAGTAAATGTTAAGAGCTTGGCAAATGGGGAGCATGGCAGGCCAGCAGCTGTGTTGAAGCAGTGGTCATGTTTGAATACTTCTTATTCTTTTAGGACTGGCTTCTCTCTCTTCAGTCTTGTACCACATTTTTGCTCAAGTTCCAAGAACATGTTTTCACTTGATTCTATTACAAATTATAATTGATGTTCCTAATGGAAATTTTTCTATCTGTTATTTATTTCAGTATTGTGGAATGAACAACATTTTTCTTAGTGTATAATTTGGTGTTCTTGATCAGTGTGCCAAATTTGTGTAACATTATTATGAATCAGATAAAGTGTATCAATGCCAAATGATGATGAAAAAGAGTGTTGTTCACTTTGTTTACTCTCTCACACATTTTCCCATGAAACCATCAGAACTTTGGATTTCCTGGTTTTTCTAGATTCACAGACATTATCCAAGGGCTGTTTAATAATACTAAAGGCTTAGTGCTAGAATTTGTGGTATCTTTAAGGATATAAAAATATTTTACATGAAAATAATTTTGATTGTGTTAGGAAAGTACAAAATAAAGATTACTAATTAATTTAATGTCTATTAAAATGTACCATTTGTTTTATTTAGGATTTATATGAATCACATCACACTTAAGAATAAATTGAATGTCCAATTTTTTCTGCCATTGTAAGAATTTCTCATTAAGTGTCATGGTTGCTAAGAAATCATAGCCAATCATAAAGTAAATAAGTTGCTCATTCACAAACCATTTGAAAAGTAAAATTGTAACAATCAGTTTCCAACTTATAGTGAAAAGTCACTTTTATTATTGAATATGGGAATACTCACATAGATTTAATATAATGTGGGGGAAGATATGACAGTTTTTAAAGGTTCTGAATGTTCTTTAATTTTTCTCCAAAGAACTAAAGATATTGTCAGAAACCTCTTGCTACAAACACCAAATAGTTTTTAGTCTTCTGGGTATGTTTTCTTTTTCTAGTTTTGTTCTCAAATCTTCACATTTCTTAACACATAAAGTTTTAAAAGTTCATAAGAAATTTGTTTTCCATTTTGTTATAATCTATACTTGTTTAATTCAATTTTAATAGCTATCATATTCCAGGAAGAAGCATTATATTTATTTTATGGGTTTATTTGACTGTGATACTGCCCCTGGGAAGTGTGAGTTCTACACTGTAGACTGAAAACTCTTGAGAGATGATAGTAACAATTCTGTTCTCTTCCTTATTATTTAAAAAAAATACTTTATTTATTTAATGTTAAAATCCTCAACCAAGGATATTTTTTCTATTGATTTTTTTTTAGAGAGAGTGGAAGAGAGGGAAAGAAAGAGAAATATTGATGTGAGAGAAACACATTCATTGATTGGCTGCTGTAGGAAGCTAATCAGGACTCTGGCCAGGAAGGAGTCTGCAACCTAGGCACAGGCCCTTGACCTGAATCAAAACAGTTCTTTGGTTCATAGGCTGACACCATATTCACTGAGCCAAACTGGCTAGGGCTTTTTCTCTTTTTCAGTAAGATGTTAAGAAATCATTACAGCCAATTATAAAGCCTTCAGCTTGAGCAAAAGTTCTGAAGAGGTTGTTTTTTACACTTGATCTTAGCCAATAGGCCAAAATTGAAGAGTTGTTTGCTTTTTTTGTTTGTTTGTTTGTTTGTTTTTTTTATCACATAGTAACATCATATGCCTGTTGTATAACAGTCTATGTATATATATAGGGAAACTAGAAAATATTTTCTGAGAATAATCCACATTGTTCCTAAGAATAAGCTTGAAACTTCATTCTGCAGTCTTCTGTAAAAGATGACCCCAAACCCACTTCCAGGAATTGCATTGATTTTTCCATGCTCCTCTCTATCTTTTCTAAATAATACACAATAATTCCACCTTTAGCCACAAACCAACTAATTCTTGAGGAGTTAGGTCTGTGCCCCTTCACCTCAGGGCAAAATTGCTCTCAACTGATCTCCTTATAGCCAGCTGGTTTATTAACTTGAATACCTGGAATCTGACTTTAACAATCCTCTGATTCACCCTTTCCTGGGTTTAGGGTTCATTGGAAGTCTTTCTTTGACCTCTTTAGTCAGTATAGCTCAGTTGTTTGAGCATCATTCCATGCACCAAAGGTTGCTGGGATTGCTGACTTGATTCCTGGTCAGATCAAACCCCAGGTGTTGGTTTGATCTCTGGTCTGGGTGCCAATAGGAAGCAACCAAAAAGGTCTCTCTCTCTCTCTCTCTCTCTCTCTCGCTCTCGCTCTCGCTCTCGCTCTCGCTCTCATAAATTAAACGTAATTTTTTCAAAGTTCATTCTTTTATATGTCTCCTATCTTGCTGTCTCATCTCAGTGAACTGGAGCTCCCATTCCTTCCACATGGATGCTATATCTCCCTTTAGAGAGGATGTGGGTCTGTCCTAATGGTCTCTGTGTGCCAGGGCCTAATACAGTGCCTTGTAGCCAGAGGAGCTCATATAATGTTTGTTATTCAATTAATTAATAAATGAATTAAAGTATGAATGGAAATTGTAAAGCTTTGACTGACAAAAAGGTAAGTAAGTACTCAATGAGTCTTAAGGGATAGAAAAGAATGTTTGGGACTGGAAGTTGTGTTCAGGAAATTTTTAGATTGATTTTCCAAAGGAATGGCTTGACAAGAAATGTGAGATTAGTGGGAAAAGAAAATATGCAATTTAGGTGACAGAGGGTACCTGACTCATGATGCCCTGTGCTTTTAGCCTAATTTGCCTTTTTAGCTTAATTTGCCCGGCATACCTTTTTCCCTTAGCAGGATTTTTTGTTAGTAGAGATGATGATGGGCCTGGGTCCCCTGTTGCTGATCTTCATACTGGGTCTGGGTCAGACCCCACTGATCCTGGCTCAGAATGACAGCAGGAACAGACACTTTGTGGCCCAGCACTATGTTGCCAATCCAAGTGGCCGCAATGGCAGATACTGTGAAACCATAATGAGGAAAGGAGGGCTGACTTCACTCTGCAAAGACACCAGTAACAACATCAAGGTCATCTGTGAAGATGAGAATGGAATGCCTTACAGAAAAAAATTCAGAATAAGCAGGTCTCCTTTCCAGGTCCTACTTGCAGGCATAAAGAGGGACCCCTGGCCTCCCTGTCAGTACAGAGCCACATCAGGATCCAGAGACATAGTTGTTGCCTGTGAACATGGTTTGCCTGCCCCTTTGATGAATCCTTTTACCATCCATAACCAGCAGGTCAGTGGCCCCAAGTTCGTTCTGCTCTCCATTCCTGGCACTTCCCCACATACTCCCAAACAGTGGTGACTACATTCATTGTCAGGGGCCCAGAAAATGAGCTGCCTGGATCTTTTGTTTTCTATTTTACAATATGTTAATAAATAAAAATGTCTCTGAAATCAATAAGAATAAAAATCTTCTCATTAATTTTTGGCCCATTGATTATTATCCATTTTCTTTACTCAGCTGCCCCCGGGGAGGATGGCATGGGATACAAATGCCCTTTCCCTGTCAGTTAATGCCTTCTCAGTCAATAAGGAGGTAGACTTCCCTTCCTGTGAGTGGAAGGATGGATTTTAAATTCATCTTACAGAGAGAGCTGGGAAATTCCAGGGCTCATGGCTGCCAAGCAAAATTTTCATGAGAGGCAAATTGTTCTTACTGTCAAATAAGCCAATTTTACTTTTTACAAAAGTCAAACTAAAAGGAGTAGTGTTTAAAACTAAATACCATCAGATTAATTAAACTCTCTATCTCTCTCTCTCTTAGTCTTTCTTTTTTCCTGTCTCTCTCTCTCTCTTCCTCTCTCTCTCTCTCTCTCTCTCTCTCTCTCTCTCTCTCTCTCTCTCTCTCATATATATATACCAACACACCCTCCCCCCCCCCCCCCATACACACACATTCACTCCTGGTATCCACTGCTTGTCTTAGGCAGGAGGTAATTTTGAGTTTCTTTGACTAGACTATTTCCAGGGTATTCTTATGGTTATTTCATATAAAAGTTAAAAAATTTGATTACTTTTCATTTTTTTCTCCTGTATGTTTTACTTTATCAACAGATGTCAGGCAACTGTGAGGTCTTTGGGAATTTATAGAAAGATTCCAAGCTTATCACTTATTCTTCTTCATCTAGATTTGTTTTCAATGAAACACATACTTAGGTGAATATACCATTTCTTTATAAAATATACTAATGAATTCACAGATTTAATGGTTAACTTCCCCTTACCTAATGTCTATCAATAGGTGCCTGAATATTTTATTTTTAAAGTGGTTGTTAATAAATTAAAGTTATGAATCACTAGTTTTGCTGCTTTGAGAACATATGACTGTGCTGGTCATGGCATTCACAATGGTGCCCTCTCCAGCTGCCTATGTTGTCCTGAAATGGGCCCAAAGCCTTGCTTTTCCAATACCAGGTTATAAATCTGAGTCTAGGTGCCACCTGGGAGAGCCCAGTCTCACTGAAAGCATTTAAAGTTACGCAGGAAGAATTGGGAAAGTAAATTACTGTTGCACACTCAGCACATGAATCTTTCTTCCTTAACTTAACCTATTTTAACAACTTGATATCACTATCATTTCCTAAGAAAGTAGGAATAAGAGTTTTCCAAATCTCTCCTAATAGAAAATTTGCCTTATTTAAAATATACAAATAAATAAACTGCTTAGCAAGTAAGAAAGGTCTAGATTTTGGTAGAATATTTGGAATATTTTCTCTTCCATAGAGATCATTGACCTACTCCAGGCCTTTATAATGCAGGCCACAGTATGGGTCATTATTATATTGAGTGTGCCATAGCTGTGAAAACACATATCTTCTCCAAAAACCTGCTTAGAGTATTATCATTGCATTCTCTGCTCTGGCATTAGGGCAAAGGACTATTTCCTAAGAAATCACATGGCAATGGAAGGGATTGCTTGCTGACTTGCTGATGAAACTAGCAGTTGGATAGCCAATCGTAGCACTTTTTGCTCTGGGTCTCTTGTTCCCTCACAACCTAAAGCTGCATAAAATGAAATGTCATGTGACAGGCAAGTCAGTCTGTATCTCAAGTGAATCATTTGAGGAATTGAAGTGCTGGTCAACTTTGCAAGGAAAAGAAAACAAAACCCTCAAATGCCCAAGCCCTTCGAAGATGGTGATATGCAAGGAAGAGAATTCCACAAATGTGAAAAGGAAAAATTTCTGTACAGACACAGCATAAATTCTAGTAGCTGAGATATTTCAACTAAAAAACAGCCTTCTAATTTTGAAGGAATACAGATACTTTATACAGTAAGGGAGAGGAGAATAATTTTATCCAGACTGAAGCAAGCAAAGGAAATAAAGAAAAATGGAAGTTGCAAAAGTGATCATTGCCAACACTTACTGAGAACTTACCATGTACCTGGCATTAGGATAAGCACTTAACACTGATTTTATAATTTATTCCACATAACATCCCTAAGATGTAGGTAGTATTATTATACACACTAATGAGGAATAACGCTGAGTGAGGTTAAGTAATTTTCCCAAGATCATGTAGTTAAAGTGGCAGAGCTAGTTCTTTGGGATCACAATATCAAAAGAAGTTCTTATTGAGAATCAATGTGGCAAAGTGGAGGAAGCTTTTTGGACAAGCTCTGACCAAAAAGTATGTGTTGGAATGGTTTGGGAATCAATTCATTTTCTGTTCCAGCTAGAGTCCTGAGATACACTCATTGATGGCTACATTGAACTTGTTGGCAAATATATGTTGATGGCTTATTAAATCAGTTTGTTATTGTGGCAGAGGCTGTGGATTTGCTCTTGCATGAATAGTTTAGATCTTCTCTGTAGCCAGTTATCTTTCTAAATCATATCTTGGTCACCAAGAAGCAGCATGAGAAAAAGTTAGACAGTCCCAGGAAAAATAAGAAGTGCAAGATTAACCATGCAAGATCAGATTTGGGGAAAATAACCCAAAGTACATTGTTGTGATGAAGCTATGATCCAAGTGCTAAGTGTACCTTCATTAGTCTTAAGATGAGGAGTTAATCAAGCATCTTTTCTTCATGCCACTCTTGTTCCCACAACTGTTTCCTTCTCTCTCTTCCTAAGTCCATATCTCATATCTATAGCTATAGGCACTGAAATGTGACCTAGAGCTTTCCAGTTTTTTGTATACAAGCAAAATGTGGCTGTGACTATAGGAGATAGCATTGTAGAGAATGAAGGTATGTTAGAAACTGGTATGCAGATCCCTCATCAGCCATTTCAGTCACCCAGACAGTGTGACCTGCCATCATGAAGCAGCATTTTTGAAAACAGAGGGCAGTAGTACCCATATATATATCAAACAGGACTTTAGCTATGATCATCCCATGAACTACATATGTAGAAATGGTCCTGTATGACTCTCAAAAAACTGTCCTTTCTGTTTTGGGCTGCTCATTTCCTGTAGAGTCAGAGATTAATTTTATTTGCTCTAGTACAGCAATTTTCAACTGGTATGCTGCAAGAATTTAAAAATATATATATATATATATGTTATTGATTTTTTACAGAGAGAAAGGAAGAGAGATAGAGAGCTAGAAACATCGACGAGACAGAAACATCAATAGCTGCCTCCTGCACACCCACCACTGGGGATGTGCCCACAACCAAGATACATGCCCTTGACCAGAATCGAACCTGGGACCCCCAAGTCTGCAGGCCAACACTCTATCCACTGAGCCAAACCGGTTTCTGCGCTGCAAGAATTTTTAAAACATGCAATACTGACTATTTAGTCAGGAGCACTGACTTCTTTTCTCTTAGGTTGTCAAATTAAAATATGACAACCAGCACAATAGCTGCCTGGTGTGAATGAATCAAAGTTATAGCTATTTATTTTGTCAGATTAACAAATGATATATTTTTTTTGGTGTGCTACAGAATTTAATGATTAGTTTATGTGTGCCATGATATGAAAGAGGTTGAAAATCACTGCTCTAGTGAGTCAGCCCTGCCTCAATGCCAGGGTCAAGGAGAATCACAGTTCATGAGTTCATGCCAATCGCGAGAGTGACCATCAGATGGCAGCATCTAACTAGTTGGTGTTGGTGAGGGATTCCCACTTCCACTCTTACCTTATTCCACCCCTGATTAAACTCTGTTGCTAGAGAGAAGAAACTCTGAACATAAATGTTTTGAGTATCCTGAATATTTGGGAAGTGGAAACAGAAAGGCTGCAGAAGATGTGAAAAAGCACTAATTTTAGACTCAGATAGGTCTTGGTATCTTTCTCTACTCGGTCAACAAAAGCAACGTTCTGACACTATATGGCAATGCTTTCTTTGTTGTGTCTCTGATTTGTGTTGTTTTTATTTTTATTTTTTAAATTTAATAAATCTTTATTGTTCAGATTGTTACAATTGTTCCTCTTTCTCCCTCCCATAGCTTCCCTCCACCCAGTTCCCACCTCACCATCTGCCCTTAACCCCCTCACCCCCCACTGTCCTCATCCATAGGTGTACAAATTTGTTAAGTCTTCTTGCACCCTCCACTTGCCTTTCCCCTTGAGAATTGTAAGTCCACTTCATTTCTATGCCCCTGATTCTATTATATTCACCAGTTTATTCTGTTCATCAGATTTTTCTTATTCACTTGATTTTTAGATTCACTTGTTGATAATATATGTATTTGTTGTTCATAATTTTTATCTTTACCTTTTCTTCTCCTTCCTCTTCCTCTTCTTAAAAAATACCTTTCAGCCAAAACCGGTTTGGCTCAGCGGTAGAGCATTGGTCTGCGGACTGAAGGGTCCCAGGTTTGATTCCGGTCAAGAGCATGTGCCTTGGTTGCGGGCACATCCCCAGTGGGGGGTGTGCAAGAGGCAGCTGGTCGATGTTTCTCTCTCATCGATGTTTCTAGCTCTCTATCTCTCTCCCTTCATCTCTGTAAGAAAATCAATAAAATATATTTTAAAAAAATACCTTTCAGCATTTCGTATAATACTGGTGTGGTAGTGATAAACTTCTTTAGCTTTTTCTTATCTGTGAAGCTCTTTATCTGCCCTTCAATTCTGAATGATAGCTTTGCTGGGTAGAGTACTCTTGGTTGTAGATTCTTGTTATTCATCACTTTTATATTTCTTGCCACTCCCATCTGGCCGGCATGGTTACTGTTGAGAAATCAGCTGACAGTCATATGGGTACTCCCTTGTAGGTAACTAACTGTTTTTCTATTCCAGCTTTCAAGATTCTCTCTTTGTATTTTGCCCTTGGCATTTTAATTATAATGTGTCCTGGTGTGGTCCTCTTTGAATTCCTTTTGTTTGACGTTCTCTGTGCTTCTTGGACTTGTAAGTCTATTTCTTTCACCAGGTGGGGGAAGTTTTCAGTCATTATTTCTTCAAATAGGTTTTTAGTATCTTGCTCTCTCTCTTCTTCTGGCACCCCCCATA